CTATTTAAACACAGATTAAGAGAAATGATTTTTAGTACAATTTTAATAATGCAGCTGAATGGAAACGACCAGATTCATACAATAAAGTGTTTTTAAACACTGTACTTTTTACTAAGTTCTATTATTAATTTAGTTTTATGCCGAAATGAAAAATAATTAAATCATAATACATGTTATGCAGTGGTGCACCTGAACATTGATTTGAAATTTATTATTAAAAAATAAACACCTTACATTGTTTTTTGGTCGATATTTTGTACCGTTTTTTGGTTAGCAATGTACAGTATTTTCACCCAAATTCCAGTATTTTGAAGGCTGCTGTACAGTATCTGGGTCTAGAAATTATCACATGTATGTACCCGATACTACTGAGCTGCAGAACTCCGAAAAAAAAAAATGAACGGACACAGTGACAGATTCTCAGACAGATACTTTAAACTTCAATGCTACAGTTCTGCAGCTAGACCCCATTAAAACATTATTTTTGGTCATAACTCTATGAGGCGCCGTTTTAATATTAATTTTAAGGTATTTTCTGATATCAAAAAGAGATATTATATTTTTTGATATCAAAAAATAGATCTTGATATCAAAAATTCGATTTTTTTGCCCGGATATAAGAAAATCATTTAATGATTTCAAAATTCGAATTCTTGATATGAAAAAAAAATGATTTTATGATATTAGAAATTCGAATCTTTGTTATCATAAAATCTTCTTTATTTTCTGATATCAGAAATGTGAATTTTTGATATCAGAAAATGATTTTTGATAACTGAAAATGATTTTTGATATCAGAAAACGATTTTTCTTCTCAAAAAATCGAATTTCTGATATTATAAAATGATTTTTTGATATCAGAAAATACCTTTAAAATATTAAAACGGAGCCCCATTATGATTCTTCATACGAATACTTCACAGACGTATTCCTTGTGAGAGACCTTCCTTTGGATACCAACAATTTTTACCTTCATCTCGGAGTTGATCTTCTTTTGAAAAAAATTATATAGCCACACCTTTTGAACAGTTGGTGCTAGGGCCTTAACATTTCCAAACCCTTCCTCTGGGTACCATTAATTTCACACTTGACCTTGGAGATTGGCCCGCTTTTTAGAAAGTTTTATATCCTGTACATATAAACTTTTGAATGGTAAAATGCTTGGTCTTTCATATTTTTTTTTTTTTACAAATTATAGAGACAAGTCCTTCCTTTGGCAGAAAAACAATATTTTTCTTCCTTTGACCTGGGAGTTTGACTTGCAATTTAGAAACTTCGCCAAAAGCTGCCATACGGGGACATCAGTATTTAACATTTTGTCTTTTAAGTATTTTTTTAACTAATTCACGCAAACTTCAGTGGTATATCTTCCGTGGCAAAAGAGCTAAATTAAAACACGGAGTACCAAAATTGGTGCTATCTCTAAAACGGATGACACGTTCTCAAGGACATATTTAGATCTAGGATTTGTAGATTAGCACTTATTATTTAAAAAGTTGCGTTCATCTTTAGATTATTTTTCTCCAAATTCTTACCTCAATCGATTTCAAAATATTTCTTTGACTCCTATCAACTATACTATCGTTTTGTATATCTACTGGTCTGTTAATATATTTTTTTCGTATATGGAGCTACAGTTCTGCAGTTGTCTTTAACCAATTAATCTGCATACTAGTATTTAATCCACCTTCCAATCCTTCACAGCCGTCTCTACGACTGTAGGGCATTCAGAAGTGGATAAATTATACAGATGTGTTATCAGACAGTTGATCGACCAGTGCTGAAAATTATTCCGGACTACATGATGTATCCAGATTTAAAACATTTTATATAATATGTACACATACTTAGAAAAAAAATAATGCGAGATTAAATCACTTTATTTGTGTCCACACGGCGGAGAATCTACGTCATCGGACGGGATTAGGACACACAAAAATGGAGGACAAATGCTCCGCTTCGATGTAAGAAGTTGATATTTTTGCATTTATAAAGAATGAATATTAAATCAGTATCCTGCCTAAAGTATGCCAAAGAACGTCAACTACAATAGACAATGTACGTTTGCTCGTGATAGAATCTTATTGTTCCAAACACTTCGACACAGTTTGAAAACAAGTGAGAAAAAACCGGGATGTGGGGTACACATTTTTAAAATTCGACCAATTATTCGCATGTTCAGATGAACTAGACATTTTATTCTTCCGCGTTTACACTAGAACTAATATTTTTAAAAAATCCTGATTTTTTAAATAGTTTATTATGCTTTAATTATCCAAGAAAAAAGTATAAATCATTTTGTTTTCAGAAATGATGTAGGGCACACCAACACTAAAACGGATATGGGACACACAATAAGTTACTTTCAAACTGAAACATCGAGCATTCATATCTTAAAGTTTCCATTTAAATGACTGCCATTTGATAGTATATGAACAATAACCTGTACAACTCATCTTTGTAATACTCATCCAAATACATGATTCCCTTGGTTTGCTTGTGTATCCATACAAAAATTATAAGTTGAAAACGCTGGTCTGATCTCCAACAAAAGCTTCCAACATGAATTTTAAATTTTGACTTTTATTAAATTCCATGTAGAAATTTACCGGTGTTCACTTCTGCAGATCCATAGAAAGAGGGGGGGGTTCGAAGTCCGGAGATTGTGTTAATTTTATGATATTTCTATTTAAAGTTACACGACATCCGCCCCCCCTCCCCCCCCCTCGAAAAAAAAACACCAAAAAAAAAAAAGAAATACACGTGTACAAACTCACGAAATAAGTTTTTTTTTTTAGCTTTGTTGCTTACTTTTCTGCTTGTCAAAATAGTTTGGAGTCAGAAAATTCTTTGATTGGAATTCCCTTGGTTTGCTTGTATCCATACAAAAATTCAAATATTATAAGTTGAAATGGCCGGTCTGATCCTCCACAAAAGCTCATTAGCTGCCAAAATGAATTTTAAATTTTGACTTTTATTAAATATCATATTGAAAGATACTAGTATTTACATGTGCGGATCTAAAAGGAGGGTTGAAGTCCGGAGTCTATGTATATGATTTTACGTACTCTACGATATTTTTGTGTTAAGTAACACGACCCAGACCCAATTAAACACATATATATAGCTTTTTGAGGTTGATTGTTCAATTTCTTTGCTTGTAAAAATATTTTGGAGTCAGAACTTCTTTTTCTGAGTTTGTGTGGACACCCCCCCCCCCCTTCGAAAAGTTTCTGTATTTGCATATTCAATGTTTGTTTTTATTAGATGTTTGTGTGTGTGTGTGTGCTGATAGGAAGCGGAGATTAGGGAATTTTTCTTATGCTCAAATATTTGCAACAGCTGACAAACTTCTTTCAAAATTCTAATAGTTAATTACCGACTCCATATATTTGAGAAAAAGAGACAAAATTGAATATTGTACTTCGAAGTTAACATCATCGTATTAATTGAAAAAAAAATTATTGTTTTATTATGTGTCTTTCCTGATATACTTTATTTTATCAAATAAAATATACAACATGACTATATGAAGACAGTCATGTTGTATATTTTATTTGATAAAATAAAGTATATCAGGAAAGACACATGTATGAATCAGTGATTAAATATTATGTACTCATAAAGCAGTTCATGTCATCTTATTTACATTCGCTGGAATATTAGCCAAAAGCAATGATAGGAGCCGGCTTAAATAAACATTACCAGCCGTATAAATTGGGATTTTTTTGTTGTAAAAAGTACTTTCGTAGCTATACATAAAAAAGAAATAATGTCAAAACTATTTGTTGCAATTTGGAATTTCCCGATCAATTTTTAGACCACTGTGTAGGGAAAATAAATTCTTTTTATCACCTGGAAGGTCAGTTGTTGCAAGTATTTGAGCATAAGAAACGTTCTTGATCTCTTTCCCATATTAAAAGACATGCTAGTGTCAAAGATCTTATTAATACCAATATGCAGATTTAAGAACTTTTTCGGGGGGGGGGGGGGGGGGGGGGGGGGGGGGGGGGGGGGCAGTCCACACAAAGTCCAAAGAATTTTCTGACTCCAAACTATTTTGACAAGCAATAAAGTGAGCAACAAAGCTAAAAAAAAACTTATTTCGTGAGTTTGTATGTGTGTGTGTGTGTTTTTCGTGTTTTTTTTTCGGGGAGGCGGGGGGGGGGGGGGCGGCGGATGTCGTGTAACTTAAAATGGATATATCAATAAACACAATCTCCTGACTTCGACCCCCCCCCCTCCCTCTTTCTGTGGATCTGCAGAAGTGAACACCGGTAAATTTCTACATGAAATTTAATAAAAGTCAAAATTTAAAATTCATGTTGGAAGCTTTTGTTGGAGATCAGACCAGCGTTTTCAACTTATAATTTTTGTATGGATACAAGCAAACCAAGGGAATCAAGTATTTGGATGAGTGTTACAAAGATGAGTTGTACAGGTTATTGTTCATATATACTATCAAACGGCAGTCATTTAAATGGAAACTTTAAGATATGAATGCTCGATGTTTCAATTTGAAAGTAACTTATTGTGTGTCCCATATCCGTTTTAGTGTTGGTGTGCCCTACATCATTTCTGAAAACAAAATGATTTATACTTTTTTCTTGGATAATTAAAGCATAATAAACTATTTGAAAAATCAGGATTTTTTAAAAATATTAGTTCTAGTGTAAACGCGGAAGAATAAAATGTCTAGTACATCTGAACATGCGAATAATTGGTCGAATTTTAAAAATGTGTACCCCACATCCCGGTTTTTTCTCACTTGTTTTCAAACTGTGTCGAAGTGTTTGGAACAATAAGATTCTATCACGAGCAAACGTACATTGTCTGTTGTAGTTGACGTTCTTTGGCATACTTTAGGCAGGATACTGATTTAATATTCATTCTTTATAAATGCAAAAATATCAACTTCTTACATCGAAGCGGAGCATTTGTCCTCCATTTTTGTGTGTCCTAATCCCGTCCGATGACGTAGATTCTCCGCCGTGGTCCATATGCACGAATTAATTACAAATATTATGAAAAAAATTAAAGAATAAAATCTTTCACTTCGCTTTTGAAAAACAAACAAATTCAAAATTTCTAATCTCAGTGCATGTCTATAAATTCGCATGAAAAAGTGCGTGTGACCATTCTCTTTAAGTCCATTTCTTAAACTTATTTGATGTCCATATCTTCATGTTTGAATGGTGTATCTCGCCTTAAATCCCGTAAATTCGTTTGAGTCGTCGGAGTGGAGTTTGACCATCAGCGTGTTGCCAGGGTACTCTAATGTCCGTGGGGGTCTGTTTTCGTCTCCCTGTTCTTCACCGCAAAATCTGCAAAGAAAAAAGAAAAGCTCAATGAATTTCCATTCCATTCCTAATCAATGTTGCAGTTCTTTTCTCGCCGAACTTATTTGAAACTTTTTTTTGCTTTATTCTAAGTCTATATTGAGGTTATGATTACACTTTTTAATTTTTTTTAACGTCTTAATTTTTTTCAATCCCCCCCCTCCACTTTTCAGTTGCTTACCTAGCGCCACCTATGTGAGGTCCACCCAAGAACACTTCTAGCCAATCATAGTAACACGTGGCGTCACTTTCTACCATAAAATCCTCCATAGTTAGTGTGATTCTAGATCCGGGTGGTCCCTAGGCAACGAAAACAAAATAAATAATTTAAAACTTAAGGGACAAATTATAAGCTGGCATGAAAGGAAATAAACAACATTTTCAATTACTGGGAATTTTATCTTACTTTAATGACCCAAGTACACTCGGCATAGGATGTGTAATCCCCTGGATAGTTTGGAGACATGAAAACGCCACTCGTTCCCGTTAGTTCGCCTCCACAGTCTGCAAAGAAAAATACATCGATCTCATAATTTTAATAACGAATTTTTATAAATTGGTTTTTAAAAAATTATCAGATCTGATAATCTTATGAATTTTAAAATTGATTTTTAAAAAATTAAACTCAACTTACTTGTGTTGCTTTGAGCAACTTCCGAACAGTCTCTTCCGGAAAGCCCGTTTGGACAAAGGCATGCGCAGTTTGGTCCAACATATCCCTCGTTTTTACAATTTAACTGAACCGGACAACTAGCTAGAATGGTCAATGGATATAAGAGAAGGTGCAATGAATTATACATATTATAATATTGCTAGTTTCTCTTTTAATTATAACAATTTCACCAAATAGTTACCTGAACATTTATACAGATCATTGGCAGTTTTCACGTCCAGAAAACTTAAAACATCCCTTTGACCCATCGTGTTAAGAAGGTTCTTCATGCGTGGTACGATTGTTTTTGACTGCCCATCTTTACTCATATACTGCAACATACAATTAATTCGTCATAAAATATCTCCTTATAACAAAATTACATTTTTAGCAATTGAATTTTATCCAGTTCAATGTTTTGTGACGGTAAACAAAACAGCAACTCACCGTTGGACCATAATGCATAACAGAGGAGACATCATAAGGTTCAATGTCTTCTATACTTCGAACACCAATTTTCTTGAAGTCCATCTCGAACCCCTGCTTGATATTATTGGTGTAAATAGTCACGTGATCGTCTCTATCTGGTCGGGAGTGTTCGTGGTAAAATCCAATGCTGTGCGCTATTTCATGCGATATAGATCCAATCTACAAATTACAAATGTATATTTATGTACAGATGTATTTTCAAGCAAGCGAGTGCTGTTTCATTGAGTGTTTCAATCGATTAACATGAATGCTTGGTAAAAAGAAGGTAGAATAAAAGCGAAACGTAACAGAAAAATACCGATTTAACAGAAAAATACCGATTGTTTGCAGTATCCTCCAACCATTATTTCTTGAGGACCACCTCGTCGACCGACGGGAGACTGGCATCTTAAAAAAAAAAGAACCGATCACTTAAAAATTTTTGAAAACTGACACATTTTATATTGTAAATTAGTCGCAATGAAATTCAGAAAAAATGTAACGCAATTGTCAAGTATTGCAGGAGTGCTAGACAAAGTTTTTTTTTATGAAGAAAGAAAACCATCACAAATTCGTTCATGATTTCAGGACTGGTCCCATAGGAAACAATGGGGGCTGTTTCTATTGTTTAGTCTAAAATTGCAAAATTAGTGTATCGTTACGCCCCCTTCCCACAATCCCGGTTCATAAAGGCCTTGCAGTAATAAATTAGTTACCCCTGTGCAGGCACAAATATGACCCTGTCGGAGGACCCCGATCTCTGGTTGTACTCCCTAAATCTCAGACACGTGCTTTGCTCCCACAGCGTCATGGCGGCCTTGATATTCGTTATGGCTTCCTGATCTGTTTGAAATTTGAAAAAATCTTAGCGATTTATAAAGTCCCAAAATTATACCCAATTCATAAAGTATGCCATGTAAAATATTAAGACTATTAAATGTGATGATTTCTCATTACACAAAATAAATTATAGAAATTATTTTTTTAAAAATATCTTTGAACTGCAATTTAACGAAATTACACCTATCTGTAAGCTTAGAACATCAGAAAAACTTCCCCCCCCCAAAAAAAAAATTTAAGTAGATCTAGCGTTTGACAATAGTAAACAATAAAACTGCTTAATTTATACCAAGCCCACTTGACAACTGATAATAAACAATCCCACTGGGCCAAAGTTTCATTTCATTGGCTACAGCCTTTCTACGGACACGCCCTCTAGATTCCATTTCTTGTAGGTCTTCTTGCTCTTCGGGTGAGAGCGACATGTCAGATTCGAACTCCAATCCTTCTTGTTCTGCGGGCTTGTGGACATTTTTGGTTTTAATTTTACGCACTCTTTGTTTATTTCGATCCAGATAATTATTCATAGAAGCCTATGGATGAAAAAAAAAGATACATGCATTATATAATTTATATTTATTCATTCATTTTATTTCATTTTTTGTTTACACATATTTCACATTTTTTCAATGAAGGTATATTGTGCTCACATTTGAAATTAATTCCTCCGAATCTGTCCTGGTACCAAGTTTTCGTAAAACGCGTTCAACATCTTCCAGTTCTTTGTGTACTGATACCCAGTTATCCCCCTGGATTTCAAACAATTTTTGAATTTAACAAATTGATAAATAAATTTCATTCATTTAAAATTTTTTTTTACAATAAATAACACAAAAAGCTGAACATTTTGTTTTATGATAAGCAAATAAATTATGTAGTCAATAAATAATGATAATTTCTAAAATTATAAAGTTACAGGCAACCTAAATCGGTAGGGGACTAATAAAAACATGGTTGATATGAAACACACACACACACGCACACAAATGATATAAGTGAAAAGTTAAAATGATGACCAAAGAATAAAAATTTTCAAACCTAATCAAACTTGATATTATTGAACGTACAGTTGAAAAGACCATTACCCTAATCAGTTTTAAGGATTTGAAAAACAGACTGAATAGAGTATTTTTATTCACATTTTTCTGGTATGCTTGTTGTTGTCTTTGATATAAATCCAAAAAACACACAGTAATAATGACACACAGTAGTCTGATATATAGTTTAGGAAAGTTAAGTTCTCGTGTTTGACTGATGAGTAACTATTTCGAGAGAATAATGCAGATTTGAACCTGAGAGGATAACGGAATTTAATCTTTTCGAGCTGAGTTCTCTTTAAACAACAGTTACTTTTTAAACATCCAGCGGAATTTTGGTGTTGATAGGCAATTGGCTACTAATCACTTCTTTTAGATAAAGATATAACTGCAATGCATTGCATTGTAATATAGTTTTAAAACTACAATTCATCAGTTCATAGTCTATTTAAACCACACTTTGTCAATATTCATTCAAGTATGATTTTATGAAATATGTGTTGAAAATGTAACCTTTTTTTAATATATTTTAGTGTACTTTCCAGTAGGTTTATTTAAAATCATTAAATAAACTTTAAAAGGGTTGTTCTCTAGCTTACTAATATATCTGAATAAGCAATAGATGATGTGGACAAAAATACTTTATAAAAAAAGTTACATTTTTGACGTGATGCGCTAGTCTTGTTGAGATAGGCAAAACAGTGTGAAAAACAAATGAACTTTTTTTGTTTGACTAATATGAAGAGATTCAATCAAACAAATCCACGACTTACAAACAAGAAACTATCGCGTTTTTCAATTTTGTTTTCTTTGTAGCAGTACTTGTTGAATGAGATCAACTTACTCTATAATCAAACTTAATGCAATCCATGCACTGTTGTTTATGTCTTATTTTGATATTATACGTCACGGACACTGCTCTATTATGACTTGAAAAAGCTTTCACGCTCGTTAATGCTCATTTTACTGCTTCAAACATCAGTGCATTAGCCAATGAAAAAGTGTTTTACAAAACAATTGCATTAGAATTTTGCTTTTCTTGTAGCAGTACTAGTTGAATGATATCAACTCACACTAAATTCTAACTTTACTTACACGTGACATTACCATTAGTACTGTGCATTGATCATTCAGAAAACATTTGCTTATATATATAACTTGCCGCCTGTAGGCATTGACTGAACATTTGCATAATATAAAACCAAGAGTCAAGGACGTTTTAACTTCGATGTTCAAAGGGCCATAATTTAGTTATCGAACTTTGTAACAAAGTTAAATTATGCAAATTTTACAACTTACAATAAATGGCGAGGGAAAAATGTATGTATAGGCTGTCTTTGGAGGGTGGATGGTGGGGAATATTTCCAATGCCTTTACAACTAAAATGAAACAAGTGTGCTTGTTTAAATAAAACTATCGTAGCATACTGCTTTCGGATGCAATGCATTGTAATGCCTTGCAAATAGACCAATCAAAATAAACACTCACTTTGTTTCATTGAAAATCCACAAAATGCAGAAGCAGTGAACACTCGTCTTTGACTGCATGATGGGTAAATTTCTTTATTTTCGATAATACGTAAGTACAACTAATTTTAATAAGAATTGCACTTTACAGTACTGGACAAAAATGCAATGCCACTCAATATAACTCTGTCCAATTCTGTTTTACGTGATTTTATTGCAAATAAATTTGAAAATGACAACTTTTCTAATTCATTTTTCTTTTTAAAGGATTTGAAAAACAGACTGAATGGTAATATATGCCTTTTTATTAACATTTTGGGGTATACTTGTTGTCATTGATATGAATCCAAATTAACAAATCAGAAATTATGTCGAAATTGATATGAAATACCGTATATGATTTATTTCGGTCAAACAACTAGTTTAGGTATAAACTTTAGATAGAATTTAAATGTTTAACTGATGAGTAGAAAATTTGAGAATGACGCAGATATGCACCAGTAAGGATAACAGAATTCACTCTGATAACAGTACTTAGAGCTGAGTTCTCGTCAAACAACGGTTACTTTTGCTGATCTTTTAATAGCGAAAATCTGATTGGGTTTATGCTAAACATCCAGATGAATTTTGGTGTTGAGTGAAGTTCTTTCAATTGGCAAATTATTACTTTTAAATAAAGATATAACTGCACTGTATTGCATTGTAATACTTGAAGTACAATGCACTGTCTATGTCTAGTGTATTTAAAATAAAAGGCATGTTGACAATATTTATTCAGGTATTATTTTATATTCAAAATATATGTTCAAAATGTAATCATTTTCATATTTCGTGTTCTTTCTAGTAAGTTTATTTATAATTATTAGATAAACTTCAATAGGACTGTTCTCTTTCTATGTACATGTATCTGAATTAGCAATTGATAAAATACTTTATAATAAAGTTATTTTTTTTGTTGTTGTGATGTACTTGTTGAGGTAGGCAAAACAGTGGAAAACAAATGAAATTTCTTGATTAGATAATGAATGAAGATTTTGAGACTTAAACAACCAAAAGGCCGATTTACAACGTAGATCAATTGCGTTTTTCAATACTACTTTAAACGTAGCAGTTCTTGTTAAATGAGATCAACTCGCACTATAATCAAGCTTGAATAACACGTGACATTACCATTAGTCACCGTGATTTAAACGGTTTGATCATTCTGAAAATGACTCTCAGAGGTCTTATATAGTTTACAAACTTGCTGCATGTAAGCATTAACTGAACATTTGCATAATATAAAGCCGAGAGTCAAGGACGTTTTAACTTCGATGTTCAAAGGGCCATAATTTAGTTATCGAACTTTGTAACAAATTTAAATTATGCAAATTTTACAACTTACAATGAGTCGCAAGGGGAAAATGTATATATAGGCTGTGTTTGGAGGATGGATGGTGGGGGAATATTTCCAATACCTTGACAAATGAAACAAGTGTGCTTGTATCATGATACTAAACTGTGCTGCAATGAAATGCAACACACTGTAATGCCTTGCAAGTAGACCAAACAAAATAAACTTATTTAAATTGATTCTTTGAAAATCCAAACTTTTTCTATATATTTCGTTTCTGATTAAAAAAAAAGTTTTCAAAATACAGACAAGATGAGATTGTTTTCAATTCACATTTTATCAATAAAATTTATATTTGTTCTTTTTGATGTAAATAAAAACTAAATATCAGTAATTCTGTATGTTGAAGGACTTTTCGACGAAGTTGCATATCATTTATTTTTCATCGACAGACAAGTTTTGATATGCGCATAACATCCAGACAAAAAGATAAATTGTCTTTGACTGATGAATGGATTTTTTTTATTTGCAAAATAAATTCTGCTAATCTTATTAAGAATTTAACTGCACTTTATTGCACTGGACTAGAATGCAACTTCAATTTTAAAAAGTTCAATCGAAATTTTAAAAAATATGAATGAAAATGAACACATTTTTCATTTCATGTTCTGAAAGAAAAGTTTTTTAAAAATATAGACTTGATTGGGATTTTTCTTATATTCATATTTCAAAGGATTTGTTCTCTTTGATATAATTCAAAATTAGTAATCAAAACTTGTATCGAAAGACTTCGACAAAGTTGCTATATTTTTAATCGAACATCGATTTTGGGTATGCAAAAACATCCAGAAGAAATGAATACTTGTCTAGAACAGATGAGTACATTTTCTTTATTTACACGAGAATTATTGCAGCTTATATCTTAATAAGAATGGCACTTTATTACACTGGGCAAGAACTAAAAAAAAATATCATTTTATGAATAGTTTTTTTTTAGTAAGTGAATTGAAGATTAATAATTTTTTTTCCTTTTGAACTTACTTTGTTAGGAATGGAAATCGGACTTCCCAGCACGTGCACCACGCTAATAAGAAGGCCTACAAAAATTATCACGGACATTGTTGTTGTTGTGTCTATAAACTGATGCGAACCATCTTTTATATAGAAATATTTCAAAGGAAGCCAACGTTTGGGTAAATATAATAAATATTGGAAAATTTTCATTACACAGTAGTGTGACGTGCCCTTTCTTATTTATGTGTACCTGAAAAACAAAGAGAGAAAGAAGGGGAGAAAAACTTCAAAGAGTCCTGCCTTCCTTGGCCGCGTTGACGGGGTTTCTTTTGGGATAATCCGATTCTTTGTGTAGGTGTTTAGAAGTTTATCAAACCTTATTGTTGTTGCAGAGATCTGGTTCGCATGGCGGGAAATAATGGAACTAGAATGAAGTAACTATGATGCAAAAGGTTTTACGTCAGTTGATCAAGTAAATCTTAAGCTTCGAAATGGGAAGTTGCGTAAACAAAAATTTTGGAATCAAAATTCATCTTCTTTATTGTTTAACTGCACACAGGACATAATGTATGCGCACAAATGTAATCAAATATTCAGATTAAAATTTGTTTTTGATACGTTTTTGAAAGTTTTTTTTATCACATGAATTAGATAGTATATAGTGCGAATAAGTTCTTAACTTTCTTCACAGAATAAATATGACACCTTAAAATTTAAATGACTAGTTTTTCATAAACTTTTTGTTGCACCCGTGTTCTTATGATTGGTGTCAACTTAATCTTTGACCCATGAACTACTGTAACACCCCTATCCCCTTGTACATATATGACATAGGGGGCGGGGCGGAAATCCGTGCCCTTTACTTCTTGTTTTCTAAATAGATACCACACAAACAAACAAAATTACAAGAAACAATGTAGAAATGAAAAAAAAAAACTACATAAAACACCCCAAAAAGTAATAATTTACGTATAAAAGAGGATTTCATGCAATTTATTTAAATTAATCGAACTTTTCGGACTGATTGAGGGAGGGGGAGGGGGCACACAAAGGCATGCATATATTAGGATTTCCACAAAAAGGCTTTTCTATTAAAAAAAAATATCTTTAAAGCTTAGTAAAGACACAAGAACATACTTTGTATTTTTAAAAAGATAAGTAAAATAAACCAGAAGACAATTTAAAAAAACAAAAACAAAGAGACCTACCGGTATAAACGGAAACAAAAATAGAGAGGCATTTTAATATCATTAGAACCAAAGTAGACAAATAAATAATAAATTAGAAATTATTTGTAAATAAATAAAAAAAAAATCACATGTAGAGTAAAACACAGGATTTCATGAAAAACTATTATTTTAGTGCGTTAGTCTTTTGCTGATGAATACATGAACATTTATGAATGAACATACTGAATGAACATACATAATGTATTTTAAAAATCATTTTGAAAGAATGTTATTAAGATTTTTTGTGATACGACATTTCATTTTTTATGTATAAACAAAGAATAATTTAATTCTATATGTATTTGGGGAAAATGCTTCTAGAAGGGTTTTTAATTTCTAACATATGTATACTGTATTTCACTTTTGAATATTTAGCCATGCTACTCATACCCGAGGGGTAAAAAAACATGCGCATTCATTTTTTTGCTATCAAGGCAGAGAAGTGCAATCTGCAGATTTCATCGAGAATTTACACACACAAGAGATTAGCGTGGCACAAAGAATTCAGGGTGCAGCAATAGCATATCAGTTACATTGGTATAATGTAATGCCGTGTTTATGTCACTTTCTAAACAACAAATGTGCAGAAAAATACAAAATAAACTGAGGGAGAATCATGGCTGTGCATGATATTAGGGGAAGGTAAAGAGATGGGCTTGATTTAATGTTCAATATTTCAGCCATCTTAAAAAAGATGGCGGCATAAAGAGCTTTTTACTATTGCACGGTTTTCCCTATTCTCGAAGAAAATAAACTAAATTTAAGGTTTCGTCAAAGGTCAACATGTCAAAAAAAATTATCTTTACAATTGCTCCAAAATTATGAGTGGTATAAAGTCAAAATGTTTACAGTTTTTAAATATATCATCGATTAATAGATAGAAAGTATCACTTGATAACAAATAATTTTAAAAAGATATTTTTTTTTAGAAAAATTGTATCTGAAAATGTGCATATTTAAAGAAAAATGCACCTTCTTAGTTCTGTCCTTTTTGTGAAAACCAACATTGTAGAAATAATATATGTTTATCATTGAAGGGCAAGTTGGACGTGAGTGGTTTCTGAAAGGCTGTTATTGAAAGCATGACATGTATATAGACAAGACCCCTATAAAATCCGCCATTTGGAATGTACTTTCAGTTTCAAGTCTTAACATTTGGACAAAATGAATAGGAAAAACAACTTTCCAGAGGCTGTGGAAGTCCAACTTGCCCTTCTTTGATAAACATTGTTTCTGAAATGATGGTTTTCACTAAAAGCATGGAATTAATTAGGTGTATTTTTTTGAAAATATATGCATTTTTAAGAAGAAATTTTCTTAATTAATATTATTCCAAGTATTTTTTGATGAAGTGATACTTTCTATCTGTTAATCAATAGAAAATTTATAAACTGTAAAAGTTTTAACTTTATACCTTACATAATTTTGGGGCTATTGTAAAAATAAATTTTTGGACATGTTGACCTTTGACGAAACCTTAAAGAAAAAAAAAAATTTTTTGACAAATTTAATTTAACAATTTCGTTTAAGAATACCTTTTTTTTTTAGCATTATAGACATTTTTTAAAAAGATTTAGATACACTTATGATATTAATTAGATAACATAAAATTCTGATCCCTAGGTTTTAATCGGAAGACACTTTAAAACTCTTACAAAGAATAATTTTTAGAACATGTTGTTATTTTTATGACTTTGAACAATTGTTCTTTTACGGCTTTGAAAAGCTAATCCTAAAAATCTAATTTGTCCATGTACACTTTTAAAAACTCATATTGCAAATCACCAAAACAAAAATTGGAAGTCATTCTTGGAAAAAAAAAATCGAAGTCAATTTAAACAAACAGGAGATAAGATAGAACATTGAACGAAATTTTAAGGCGTGAGAACCAATATTATTGAAATTCGAACGTGATAAAGTCAAGAGCGTCTGAGTGTTTCGATTTTGACCAGTGCACATCTGTATTATTAATTCCTATTATAAATTCCCATTTACTCTTTAAATGACAGTGTATTCAAGGTATTGTATAGGCGATTTACAAACCTTTATATGCAAACAAATGTGGATTAGGGGGAAAGTAAGCAAACAATCACAGATTTAGGTAAACATTGAATATTTAATAAGAATGCTAAAATATATCACTTTTTATTTTCATTTGATACTTTTAAAGGTTAAGTAATTTCAAAAATAAAAAAAAGGAATGAACATTGTTTAAAGTTGGACCCTCAGTATACTGTTTGACCTCATAATAAACAATAAGGCGATTAATCAGGATTAAAATGTTGCATTTAATCCCTATGTGGTGTATTCCATTGCGAGTTATTAGTTATGGCTGACGATGTAGCTGTAAAAAATATAAAATTTAACGGTAAGTTTCTCTCTGTATGTCTGCCCCCCTCTTTTTCTCTATCTGTCTGTGTCTTTCTCTCTCACTCTCTCTCTCTCTCTCTCTCTCTCTCTCTCTCTGTTCTCTCTCTCGCTCTCAAAATGTATTGGAATTTGCAATCACAAACGTCTTCTCTGGGTTTTAGCTATGGAGACCTTTGCATTGGACAAAAGCAGATATGACATCAACACATCAACATCACCACCATCAGTTTTTCCTCCTAGATCCGCCACGCTATCTTTCGTTTCCGAACCATCAAGTCCCGGAAGTGGAACCGGAAGCCTCAATGTATCCCGAATGAGAAAAAACAGTGCAAAGTTTCGCAAAAGGCAAATGAACAGTTACATTGCGAGTCCTATCCACTCCGCAACAAGCGTCAAGTCTACGGTCTCTAAACATTTGTCTTCGAAACCATGGGAGTACGTGCCCATTTTGACAGAGGAGCAATATAACGATAAAAAAGAACGTTTACTTAGAAACAGTAAATTAAAGCTTGAGTTGGAAAAGTACTGGAACATACAAACGCCGAGTCGGTTGGAGAAAAAGAGGTTAGAAGAAATATCCAGTGAAGATGAAGATTACGATACAGATTTAGATCAGGAGTTAGGTAACATGAAAGAACAGCTGGTACGGTGTCCTTATTAGACCTATCTCAGTATCTTTGAGTTCAAGTTCAAATACGTCAAAGCTTTGTTATTCTAAATCTCGAAAACCATAGATATATCAAAATTAATTAAAAGACATAACTTTTTTTCTTCAAACATATTTTAACCTCTATATCTCGGATCATGGTCTATATCTCGGTTCCAGCGGTTCAAAGATAACGAGGTTTTTAAAACTGTATTCAATTATTTTCAGTCTCCCCCCCCCCCCACCACCCTGAAAAAATGGTTCTTGTTTAGCCTAATCTCAATTTCAGTTGGACTTGAGCTAATCGTTGACGAAAAAACAAAACAAATCAAAGATGATGGAGTGTTTCCGGAATATAAGCGCATGTGCAGGAAGTTGAACATTATACCCAATCACTACCTCATAAGTCATTCGACAGATGACGACATACGACTCCGGTATAGGTATCTCAGCAAGAATGATTGCACGGCAATGGGATACGAGATGAAGGTATGAGCATTTTCGTCATTTACATTTATCACCAATGGATAATTTCGATATTAATGATATTAATAGACGAATATATGTATCAATATAACGTCCTCTTAAAATTGTATCCATATTTTAACATTTCAACGGTTTTTAAGTTAATTTCGATTTCATTTCTTTAGGACAATTTAACCTTCTCAAAAATAGACCTTGAAGACAATGGAATGACAGGAAAACACATCCATGCTCTGGCAGAGATGCTTCTCCAGAATCATTATGTATCGGAAATAGTATGTTGATGAAATAAGTTACTGTATTGTTTCCTTAAAAAGAAATTAAAAAAAGAGAGACGTTTTGTTAACCCCCTTTTTAATTGTTTTAATGGTGAACTATCATCAACAAAAACTTCAAGAAACAAAAGCATATTTTTCATTAAACGTTTTACATTTAATTTTTTCATAATTTAATGATTTACTTTACATATACATGTATAGTAGGTACATTCATTTAATTATATTAATATAATTTACACATTTTTTTTATTTAGTGCGTACATTTAATTTAATGATATACTATACATATACAAATAGTGCGTACTTCATCATTATCGAAAACTGCAAAGGTTACTTTTTTATCCTTCTGTTATATGTAGACCCCAGTAGAGCTACAGCCTCATCAGAGACGTGTTTATATATCTTAAAAATACTCGATTTATTCAGAAATATGTCGATCCTTTCCTTAGTCACCTCACCGCCCACTATATATAAAACACCTTCCGTTGTGTGTTTTATGTTACTGTATTGGTGTTTTCTAAGGTTTATTTTTTGTTTTGCATTTCTTTGTAGAATTTAGCTAATAACCCAGTAGGAATCCCAGGAGCCAAGGTGGTGCGATACATACTCACAAATAATACTCATATACGAAAAGTAGATTTAACAGGTATGGATGGATACGTGAATACATGTAATTCCATACCATTAATATTGAAAGTATTTTATTCCATATAAATTCATCTGTAGATGTTTACTCTAAAATTGTAGCATCAATTAAAAGACACATTAAATTTTGCACACAGTGAAAATTTTTGCCGATTTTTATGACCTGAGTAATGTAAAAGGGGGATGTATTTTACATATATATACATATGTTTATGGTTAGGCTAATTCATATTTTACCTATTGGCTAATTTTAAAAAAGTAGTTGAAAAGTTGTTTTGAAAATTGTTGAAAAGTGTCCGATTATTTCAGGGTGCAAAATTCAGGATTTTGGTGGTAAACTAATGGCCAGTATATTACAGGTAGGAAAATGACGTCACTCAGTGTAACGTAATTTGGTATTGATGATAGAGACCTATTAAGAAAACATCATTTGCTTTCTGTAGACTGAAGTTATATTTATTCCAGAGTAATGAATTTATGAAACAGCTCTTGTTAGGACGAAACGGGATCGGGGATGAAGCTGCCGCACAAATTGGGAAAAGTTTAGGCAAGTGTTGGTTTTATATAAAAGGGAGATTTACCAGAAAATGTGCAGTCCTATTAAATGTTTTCATCTCTTCCTTTTGGTAAATTATTGAAGTCGGTAGGTCTACAATGTAATTCAATGCTTAGTTTATTTTTAAATAGTGTTCGCTATTTCATTTCTTTTTCCTGTTTTAATTTTATGTAAAGTAATTTAATTCTTACTTTTTCTGGCCACCTTACTGCTATATTTTCCTAACATTTTGTTTTAAAATTAACATGTGAAATTCATTCAAATCAAGTTAATTTCATATACACCACCGGGGGGGGGGGGGAATTTTGAGACATTGACGGTCCCAGTATTGCCTGAATAGAAATAAATGTTGCATATTAGGTGGTGGGGGAGTTTATATCTGATAATCAAAGGACAGGTCATTTTAATGGTACAGAAGTACCATGCATTTGGAACATGTGAAGTGTAAACAGGCCCCTCGTAAAATCATAATGATATAAATTCTAGGATTTGGACAGCTCTTCTACTACATTCATTGCACACATGCCCCATTAATCAGAATTTCGGTATGCCCATTCTTTATTTTCCTTTAACAGAATCAAACAGTACGCTGGAGATTTTAGATTTGTCTTGGAATCAGATAACTCGCTTTGGTGCACAGGCCATTGCTACAGGACTGAAGGTCAGATTTAGAGCTGCGCGCTTGTTTAAAAAATCGAAGTATGTTAAAATAATAATTTTCTGTCAAAAAGCGGACACTATTAAACTAAATTAAAAAATTCTTTTGCATTTCAACGTACTATTTTACTTTTTCCAAATAAAACGTTGTAATTAATTAAATAAAAATAAGTTGTTTTTTTTCTGTTAGGTTTGTTACTCAATGATATACCTTTATTTTTCAATACCTTTTTAATCTTAAGTTTCAGAATAATATTGATTTGTAACATTTTTAATTGTTCTAGCACAATCAACGACTGCACAGTCTCATTTTAAATATGAATGGGATCGGCAAAGAAGGAGGGTGTTCCTTAATTGAGTGCCTTCGCCTGAATTCGACCTTGACCCTCCTTGACCTCGGAGCCAACAGAATTCCTGACGATATCGCACCTGTTATTGCCAGGGTCTTACCCATAAATAAAGCTCTTCAAACTTTAAAGGTTTGTTTTTGTATTTGAGCTAATAGATGCCGCTTACATTCATAACGACAAACTAAAGCTAACGCAATATAAAAACGTTGTTAGCAGAAGAAATGATTATTAAAACCTTTTAAATTTCTACCTTCAGCTTCAAATACAAAAAAAAAATGTTTTATTTTAATTCTCAATTTAATAATAAAAAGTAAATGCAAAACTTGAAAAATGTTTTTTATAACTTCAACTAAAACATAAAGTTTAGCAAAATTAAAATAATTCCAGCCAGTCATATAAATATTTATATTCTCTACAGCTGTCCTATAATCTGATATCGTCTGAGGGAGCCATGACTCTTCTTAAACCCTGGTCCTCCAAAATAAAGAAGAGAAGTCCGTTACAGAAATTAGAACTTGATGTAAGAAGATTAAAAATTAGTTCTATTTGTGTTCAAAGAAAACATGTATCTCTCTCGAGAAATATCTTTAAAACAAGTTAACAAAAACATTATCTTTAAATCAGAGAAATAGAGTACTATAGTATGTCTCATTTCAATTTATGGACAGGGAACAGATGCAAATACAGAGTTAGCGTTATTGGTTCACAAACTGAGAGAAAAACGGGGCCTAAATGTGACACTACGATTACCGCCCTCCAGGAGGGAGAAATCCTTGGATCCACTCATGGGTAGTCTGATGTACATCGTCAAGTTCTGCGACAAAGAAGACGTGGATCTTACAGAACTCTTTCCTAAGTCGTATGAAGAAAAGGGCGTCCTAATTTCCACTGATGATGTGGTGGAACTGATCAAGGTTGGTCAAAAATCGGGGACTGATCTATTAAATATTTACAGAAAGGGGGGGTTACTTTGGTGCATATTTTAGTTTACAATGTATCCGTTTACTTCTAAAATACCTATTAAACTAGTACATGTATACATACATTGCAAGCAAACTACAAGATTTGATTCTGTTTACAGCATTCTGGGAAAGACATCAGCAAGTATAGAATCCATGAACTCAAAAGAACACTACAAGAAACTCGGGAGCGTCGGTTTGAGTTAAAGTATGCATTCAAATGAATTTTTTTGATTGGCTATCGAAAATGGCTTCAGTATTTCAAAGATCTTTTTTCATTCTCGTTTCCAACGTTTATTTCAGGGAACTTATGACTATACATAATCAGATAAAACAGGGAAAAGACCCGTACAGAGAGGATTCTCTCAGGAGTGCTATAGCCGGTAAACGCCGAGGTATTCCGACAGAGACTCTTCAAGCATCCACTCCGAGCACTGCCGGAGTCCGTTTCCGTGGCGGAAGTGACGACGAAGATTAAATGTGTCCAGATCTCTCTGAAGAAAATACTGTTCAAAACATTCATACTAAATTGCATGATTATATTCAATAAAGTTCTTATCTATATGCATATTATTGCTGCTACAGTTATCATTCATTTTCAGTTTTCCTGCACCAATCGTTCCCATAACAATGAGGACATTGCTTTTCAAAATGGCATTTATTTTTCTTTATTTGACTTTCAAACATGCAAACCTATACACAAAATAAAATCATACAAATGTGGTAGCTAGAGACAACAGTTTAACAAAGTTAGGGTCCGTGTTGGATCGCAAACACGAAGGAATCGGTGTCCTAATACGTGTCCCCAATGGCTGACCATTATCGTCAACAAGAACTATATTGTTACTGTCAAATTTAGGAATCAGCGGTTGCTGATTCTGTTTACATCCCACGATGTAACCTTTCTTCTTTTCGTGTTCTATGGTCACAAGAACTCTGTCGCCAAGGCGACCCACGTGCGTTTTGTTGTACACGTGAATTATCCGTACGGGTCTCCCAGATTGCTTGGCATTTCTTCCTATTTTGCTGTTATCCACCACCTTAACTCTGCTAAGGAGTCGAAGTTCGTTCAGGGACGTTGTGGTACTGAAAGTAGACGATTTTCTTTTGTTAATTTTGCATGTAATCAAAAGGATACCTCCGGCAAAGGCACAGCGACGAAGACGTAACTCGTTGGATAATAGTATCCAATCACAATCCATGAAGGAGCCTAATTTATTCACTTATTTAACTTTTATTTATAAACCTGATTAGAAAACCATATTTGTTCAAAATTAAATGATTTAAATTCTCCATATTTAAGTACACATATGCATAGTTTGATCTTTGGTTGTTTATCAACGGAAGAAAAAAGTTTTAACAGTGAAAGGTTTATAGACTAAACGCATACACGAGTGCTAGTAGTAATGCTTTTTAGAAGGAAATTTTATTCAGATTTTTTCCCTCCTAACTCCCATGAAAATTCAGGATACAGGACGTTTTCCGGCAGTTTTAAGAGTGTGAATGGTCAATTTAGTGGGAACTGAAAAGGACATCTTGCCGGAAGAAAAATCAATTTTAATGAAGCGGGCCTCTCCCTTCTCAAGTCTGAGATAAAATTATTTGTTTTAAAATAATCAAAGTAGTTATAAATTGATCAATGTTCAAGTTGTCAAGATTTCTATCGCAAAAGTAAAAAAAATCTTCACTGCACACAGGTACATAATGTATATAATCAACTATATTATTCACAATGAATATAACATGAGAAGTGGTGCTGGAATTCATAGAGTATGCTTTGTGACAGGTTTCATCACAGAGTTGAGGAGAAAATAAAATATGAGATTGTTTCTTTGAATTCATTTTTGTATAGCTCGTTACGGTCAAAGACAAATATGTAAAAGCATAACGCTACAGATCTGCAGCTAGTAATAAGTATCAGTACTTACTTTTTTAAAAAGAGTTTTAATAAATATGAACAATTTAAAAATTAAATTACACTGTATTTTGTGCAAAACCTTTTTTCAAACTTTCTGACAACAAACAGGATTAGCTTCTTAAATACCACTAAATTGTCTGCTTTAAACATCCCCGTAAAAAAACGTTCTATAAATTCCTAAAAATGTCGAACACCAAAAACATAAACAGAATTTGAGGCCACACTTTTGCCCAAATGGCATAGGAGCCTAGAACTACAAAAAGATGCATAGCCCAGCTGTTGAGAGAATTGCATTAGCAATATAAGTCCCATACTGGCAAGTGGAACTCTGTTTACCATTAGAAATTCAAAAGACCATTACTGCATCAAAAATCATTGATTTGGAACTCATCAAGACACACTCACAAATCAAAAATTAAATCAGCTCAATATTTTTAAGTGTTTAAGAAATAAGTGCATAAAACCAAGTAGAACAGACTGTCAAGCAGAGCTTAGGACAGACTGACAGACAAATGCATGACATGAAGGAAACCTATAGTCCCCTCCAGTATCATTGGTACCATAGAGGACTATGTAGAATAATTACGAACCAGCTGTTCTGACATGAGAAGAATATTTAAACAGATTTTCTCTTTAAATATAACCCCTTTGGAACTTTGAACAGTAAATCCCACAGTCATAATTTGGACGAAAATATAATCTGCACTACCTTATATTTACATATTGAAAGATTCTTCTCATTAATGACCTATTCTCTATAGAGAAATGGACAAGCTTTCGCCTTTGAATGTCCACTTCTCTTGCCTTTGTTTGTTTGAAGGGAAAATTACAGATTTTCCTTTATACAACTTAACTTCATCTTTGAACAACACAAATCCAGTGCGCTGGCATCTTACCTAAATTTCCTGAGAAAGATCTGTTGTACAAGCGACATCTGGAAAAAAAATCGTTAAGTTTTTAAATTGATCATTAAAAAACACATGTGGCGCAAGTCATACATACAGTAAACAAATACTCATCAATTTGTTAAATAGATTTTCTTATATTAAGTGCATAATGTATGAAGTTACAAGCATTTCTTGTCGATTTAACATTTATAGAAAAGTGGTGTGTCTTTGGAGGAAATTCGAACGTTTATACATCTCGCGAAGAATTACTCAGAATATTATATAGGGACGACGTTATTTGATTTTTCTAATATGATTCCATTATGATTTTAATTATATACAATACCTCTGTGATAATTATGTCCAATCCAGCTTAAGTTATTATTCTGCTCCCCAAATCATGCTTTCAGAAGGAAAATAAATCGGGCTCGGGCACCGTAATTTTTTTTGATACCCCGTACATTAACCCATTCGATTTGAAGTTTTCATTCCTTGATTTGAGCATCGTCGCAAGCCATGGGTTTTGTGTCCATTCTATTTCCACAAACCTAGAATGGCCATACAATGAAATAATACCCCTAAAAATTGCGCTTGCTATAAATCAATTTTTTTTCTTTCCCCGACGGATGGGTGATGGGTTTAATTAGAGAGTCTGAAATTAAAAACAAAGAATTTAAATCAACAAATAGAAATCTTTAAAACCAGCCATGTAGCATAGTTCTGGAAGTGAGGGGAGGGGGCAACCAGAGAGAAAAAAAAATTACTTACCTGAAAAAGGAAAAAGTTGACTGGCCAAAAAAAAAAAAAAATTGCCCTATTTCGTGTTAGGGGTGGGGTGGGTGGTAGAGGCCAACTTTTTTCAATGCCAATCTCTTTCAATTCATTTCCTGAAATATAAAGTTGGGGGGGGGGGGGCAAACAGCCTTCAATTTCAATGAACATTTCTTGTAGTAAAAGTAATGTTGGGTAAAAAAGTGGGCCCCCCTCCCCCCGGCTCCCCTGTTGCCGTGTGCCTGAAAACGCAATTTACTCGTTTGAGATCGACATCTCTTTGGTTTCCTTTACCCTGTCGATGTATGTCTGATAAGAAATACTGAAGTAAGCAATTTTACACAATCTCTTAAGTTCACCTCTTTACGGGTCTTGCAATGTCTTTTAAAAGGACAAGGTCACAGTTTCAGCTACATACTTCAAATTTGTTTTTCCATTTTTACAAATATTTATAACTAAGGTCTTTCTAATGATCATCAATAATTTGAACTTCAGTTTTCGAGATAAATGACAGATTTTGAACTCCAAACCTTTGTTCTGTAATAGGGTACGTGTTTTTGTTTACATACTAATATATGTTCATTCAAAGCAGATAATTTCAATAAAGAAGTTAATTCTAAATACGATTAAACTGTTATAATTCTGGCTTTGTGAAACATAAATTCCAGGTGAGGATTTCCCAAGTGTACAACACAGAAATAAATTTAAAAAAAAAATGGTGTTCCAAAAAAAAAGTCAACTGCTGAATCAAGACTATCAACAACCTCGTTCTAAAGTCCTCATTTCGTACGTTCTATAGGAAATAATAAGCTTGAATACTGTTCGCTGTCTCCATACATTTCATTAGATGTTTCAATTGTACAAAATTCGAAAACCTCTTATTTGGAACAAAATTGATAGTCTTTGCAATAAGTTATTCTTCGTCATTTTCATTTTGTATAATCAGTGCCCCAACAAATATAGGAAGGTTTTTGTTTTATTAAGTTGAATTTATGATTAATAAGAAATATAAAACCTGAAGCTTTATTCATTGAAAACATTTCCATGACTCCGTACCTTTTATTCCCGTATAAAACCAACTATTTATGTTTTCTAATGTGACATATAAAGCTTATATAAAGGAATATTTTTTACTCTTTTCAGGAGAAAGTTTAAAATATATGATAAATCATAGAAAAAATTCAATATTTAAAGTAACAACATTATTTATGATCTAGTGGCTGTGAAATGAAGGGTGGTCCCACACCTTCTCACACACGGATTGTTTTCTATCTCTATTTGAAATACTTTTTTAGACGGAGGCTGTCCTACAGCCTCCGGTTATAGGGATTGTCTTGCCCATGGAATGTAAACAGGAAAGATTTCCCAAGCACCATCTATCGGTGGAATTGTTTTCATTACCTTGAGAATCGACTCTTAGGGTGTGCTTGATTGTAAAGTCAGATTTCAATTCCGAGAGTTCCAAAAATTCTACCAATCAAGTAAAACTGGAATTAGAATTAGTTCACAATATGGCTGCAGCTCGAGAAATAAAGAATTTATTCCTATTTTATTAAATGATTTATTGTAAGATGCAATGAAGGATGAAAGTGCAAGTGAATGCTGTAAAGAACAAAATTTCATGCTGTGTGCAGCTCTTAGGTGAACTTAAAATTAACATGATTTGAATAATATTATGAGAAAAATATTAAATTTTAATTTGCAAATAGGTCTATATTACGAAAGCCTACAAGGGTCAAATTAGAAAATGAAAAAAAAATTATAAAGTCGTAATAACGACTTTTTATCTCGTTATTACGACTTTTTATCTCGTTATTACGACTTTTTATCTCGTTATAACGACTTTTTATCTCGTTATTACGACTTTTTATCTCGTAATAACGACTTTATTAAGTCGTAATAACGACTTTTTATCTCGTTATAACGACTTTCTATCTCGTTATAACGACTTTCTTAAGTCGTAATAACGACTTTTTATCTCGTTATTACGACTTTTTATCTCGTAATAACGACTTTATTAAGTCGTAATAACGACTTTTTATCTCGTTATTACGACTTTTTATCTCGATATAACGACTTCTTATCTCGTTATTACGACTTTTTATCTCGTTATTACGACTTTTTATCTCGTTATTACGACTTTTTTTCTCGTAATAACGACTTTTTAAAGTCGTAATAACGACTTTTTATCTCGTTATTACGACTTTCTTAAGTCGTAATTACGACTTTTAATCTCGTTATTACGACTTTTTTTTTTTTTTTTGCTTGTCAACTTTTTCAGGTAAGTAAATATTTTTCTCAGGTTTGCCCCCCCCCCCCCTTCATAAACGATGCTACGTGCCTGCAAGGAGATAACACGGAAACGTGCACGGTATAACGGTGTCGTGAAGCTGAAAATGCGATGATTGTTTAGTTATAAAATTCTCAAAACAGTTTCACCAGAGTTTGACAATTTATTTATTCATATTTATTATAATCTGTAAATATTGACAATATTTGGACTTGTTTTGTTTACACACTTATAATCTAAATCATTATGCCGCTAAATTGAAGACATTAGTGTTGCACATTGCAGAAATCATTTCAAAATATTATATATGATACATAAGCGCGTGTCGAAAGCAAACTGAGAGGGGGGGGCTAAACCAACAAAAAATGTTCGGGGGCTACTCAGTAAGCCCCAATTATCAATGCCTATGTAGACTACATTATGTATTTCTTTGCAAAAAAGGGCTTAAATTGCTGTTCAAATGTACTTTTACATTCCTCGTTCACAGACAAAAACTTTCAAAAATATCAACGTGAAAGTCTATGCTATATATAACCAAATTACCATATATTAACAACTTCTTTTATGTACCAGATTTAAATTAAACTACCACATCACCCTTATTTGGCTATATTGCATCAAAAAGTGTTGGGGGCGGCAATAAACTTTTTCATCAGCAGGAAAGTTATGTTTGAGAAAATAATGAGGAAGCCTCCACCCCCCCCCGTCGTATTGCCTGATAAGCAGATGATACTCATTTTCTTTTGTCAGTTTGATGTATAAATCAACTTCACGAGGCGCGGTCATAAGTTTCCGTAATACGGAAAGGTAAAAAATATCAAATTATTGAAAATAAAAAAAGTCGTAATAACGAGATAAAAAGTCGTTATTACGACTTAATAAAGTCGTTATAACGAGAAAAAAAGTCGTTATAACGAGATAAAAAGTCGTTATTACGACTTAATAAAGTCGTTATAACGAGATAAAAAGTCGTTATTACGAGAGAAAAAGTCGTTATTACGACTTAGGAAAGTCGTAATAACGAGATAAAAAGTCGTTATTACGAGATAAAAAGTCGTTATTACGACTTAGGAAAGTCGTAATATCGAGATAAAAAGTCGTTATTACGACTTAATTTTTTTTTTCTTCATTTTCCAATTTGACCCTTGTAGGCTTTCGTACTATATGACTGTATTTGGGTTCAAATACAGGGAAAAACTGCATACATGTTTTAATCGGCACTCTTGACAAATGTACACAGTAGTCACCATCTTTAATTCCTTTCACACCACCTCTCAACACGGAATTGATAGAACTGTGCCGGAATTGAATTCCGGCGAACTTGATTGTAATTCTGCCAATTCCAGTAATTCCAGCTACCAATCAAGCACGCCCTAAGTAACACCGACCGCAAGGTTAGGCATAGTCTAAAACAAAGATCGCGTCACATACAAGTATAAACAAACAGTTTTACTTTTTTCTAAATAAAGAGGATTTGTCTAATATTTTAAAAATGACGTGTATGTAAATACATTTTCTACGGAGTATGTAACAAAGAATGTGATTAATACTGTTTATTTTTTATCAGACAGAATATTAGGAGATTTAGTTCCAACAGACGATGATAAAACGTGTTTTACAATATGCCGAGCCATTTCCCACTGATTCTCACACCAAAACAAGAACGAGAAGAAATGAAGTGGCGGATCTAAAGGGAGTTGGGGGGGGGGTTAACATCCGCGGAGAGTGATCGAGGAACCCCACTTATCAATTGCTTCTTTTATTAAAGTAAAAACTATCTCTAGTTAAAGATATATCCTTTAATGCCGCATGCAAATTTTTTATGTCGCTCGTATAAATATAAGATATTTTAATAATAGATCAAGCATTTCAGTTTTAATGAAATTTTTTGTGCCTGATTTGTAATCTCATTTTCACTCCTTTTCTAATTTCTTCTTGAAAGGGCCGATAAATTGGTTTGCAGCCGATTTTTGACGCTTGCATCAATAGGTTTTAAGGAGTTTTTTAATCTGAAAAGGATCGATGAATGAACAAATGCATAGTATTTTTATCTGTAGGAATATTAACAGTTTAGTTTTGGATTCTTTATTTGTAATTATGTATAATTTTAGGAAACACATGAAAATAGATTTACACTTTTTTACAAGCGGTTTGAATGTTTGGGGGTACCCTCACATTAGATAAGAGAGAAACAAACGGCAATTCTGACATTGAGATCAATATGCATTTGTAACTTTTGACCTTTGGGTACAACCCAAATCTTGGTTCATAGGATTTACATGATTTATCACATTATTTCCTAATTAATAATTAAAAATTATATCTTCTGAAATAATTATGTCACCCCGAACGAAGTCGTCGACATATTGATATTGTACGCATGTTTTTTTTATCCAGGCTGTTTCTCGGAGATGGCTGGGACAATCTTCCTGAAACTTTCCTCAAAGGACGATCACTGGTTGTAGTTGTGCAGTGAGGTCGTTCAGTTCCAATATGTCTACCGTTGCCATGGAAACCTGTAAAAAGTGACAAATTTTGTCCGAGAGTGTTCTCTCTGGTCCCTTAAACGTTCGTCATGAAACTTTTCTTATTTTAATGATTAGTATCTGTAGTTGTGCGCCTCGCATTTGAAATTTTCAAATAATCGATTATTGCCATGGAAACCAGGTGAAAGTTAAAATTCTTTAATTTCGATTTTCTCAATAACTACTCAGGCAATCGTTTTGAAACTTTCAATGTTTATTCCTTGCAATGTGTCAAAGTGATTTTTACTTTTAAAATAACTGTAATGAGTCGCTCACAGTTGCCATAGAAACGAAACATAAAAAAAAGATTCAGATGTACACATGTGTTCTCCAAGGTCTAGGTCAAAGGGTCAAAGTTCGTCGTATCCAATAAAAGTTCTTTTCACAAGGATTACATATTTGAAATATAAAAGCCCTAGTACTTACCGTTCAAACGTTATGGCTATTTACTATGTTCAAGACGACCCCCCCTTTTTGAAGCACACAGCCAGGTAGAATACACAGATATAACATATACAACTTACAAGTAACTTTTTAAAATCTTCATTCATAAAATTCAGTTCCCGTCATGTGATATTTTGCCATCATTCATTCTCCTTCTATTTTGTCTCTTGAATTTATAAATATTTTATTTTATCTATATAAAAAAAATAACGATTGTCAGCTGCATTTATTATCATTTCGCGTTTTCTTGTATATCTATCACTTGTATATTATTCATTTCATTAGATAGTGCAAGTATAAATTAAAAAATTGGTACGTCATTTCCATAGTTTTTATTCATTCATAAATCCTTTGATCCGCTCCTGCAGGTTCGCGAAGCCTTGATCACCATTGTATACAAAACATTCATATTGCCGAAAATGTTCATGATTCCGCTAAACTGAGAAAGTTTACACATGATTTATCTTCTCATAACAACATCAGCTCTCTGCAATGCAGAAATGCTCGAATTGATGGTGGCATGTTAGATTCGTTTTTCGGTAGAACCTCTAAAATGAAAGTGAAAGAGGGAAATTTCAGAGTTCTCACTGGCTTTACAATACACCAAGTTTATCTTTTAAAAAGATAGGTGAGCTAGCGCCATAGCAATCTTTAAACATAGAAAGGAAGATCCGTGATCAAGTGATTTATTTTGCTGAATTCTTTAATTCTATCGAGGCTGGAGAGTGATAAAGTTATTATTGTTTTGTGAAGTGTATTTTATAGACACATAGGTAAAGAAACAAGGGGGGGGGGGTGCCTATTGGAGTTTTGGCGCAAAGGAACATACATGACCTTTACTGGAGAGGGTGGGGGGGGGGGGGCTCTCTATAATATGAAGAGGATGCCGATTGAGACATTACATGTATGAGCTGATTTCTTGGCAATTAAGCAAAGAAAATACATGGGAGTTGAAAGGAATATAGAAAATAACTCAAAGTGTATGTTGTGTAAAGAGTCCAGAGAGTTTGGAACGCATGCATGTGAAATAGCTTGGTCCTGTGGGTCATCTTTGTCAAGAAATGTGTTAGGTTAAAAGCCATACACATCAGAATTTTTTTAACACAAATAGTGGATTTATTCGTTGTTTTTAGTGTAAATTCTTGCTTCAGTTTCTGGAATTTGTAAGATTGGCTGAATTGACCAATCAGAAATTAGAATCTATCTTTGGTTGTGCTTAGATGTAAAAAAAAAAAAAAAAACTCCCTGTCATTGTTTAGAACAATCAGATAATGACTCGGGCTTTTCCGTCAGCAAGAAAAAAAACCCAGAATTTGAAATATTATGAATATGAAGTTATCTTTAAAGTGTAAGCTACACAATAAATAACATGATTCAACGAAATTGTTATCGTACGGTCTATCTGTACTTAGATCTCACAGTTTTCCCAGAATGCACCACCATGGCGGCCGAGCATGCGTATTCAAGGAATTTGGACTAACGTAGTTGCTAGCGCTCGAGAGCGCTAGCAAAAAATAATTCGGCTGATCTTCTTCATAAATTACATTTCCCAAGCTTTTATGATAGGAAAGATACTAACAATTAACAAGTATGAGGCTCAGTTCAGTACATCTGCCAGATTTCTGTTATGCAAGTCTGCAAATTTAGGAACTTGTATGCACTACTTTCTTCTCCTACCGATTCTAAAAATAATAAGTGGGATGTACCCAATTAAGGTCTTCCGTTTCCAATGGAAAGGAATGATACAACTCGAAAATTTTTGATTTTGGTAGCTGTTACATGTCATAATTATGTTAACAGTAGGTCTCTGTGACCTATAAAGAAGATATCTTGAAATATGGAAACTCTTGACTGGCTGAGGCTTATTGCTGAATCCAGAAATTCTGGAAAAGGGGGGCCAGTTTGAGGTCAGGGAAGGGGCCCACAGCCGCAATTAAAACACTCATTTATCAAATATTGTGTTTTTTTTTTTTTTTGGACTCAAAAGGTAGGGGGCCAGGGGCCCCTTTTAATTCCGCCATTTGGGCTCATGACTAGAACATACTAGACCTACATTCATCAAACCGGGCCTGGGGGCATACGACTTATATTAGACAAGCTCACCTTTGATCTCAGTCTCGCTTTTCCACTATATATTCTTTAAGGATGGATTCTTCTCATATTTCTTATAATCACAGAATCTTGATTTTCTGAATACTCAATATTCAGAATGTGTACACTTATTAAACATCCAAATGAACCGGTGTAATCAGCCTTGATTTTCGGTCAAGGTCGTTTGAAAGTCAGTCCTAAAAATAGTACTTTTACACAGAGAAATTTTTGAAATTTACACATAGGAATAAATTTAGCTGACAGAAAAAAATATCTTGCTCAATAAAATTAAAGTTGTAACTTATTTTTGATCACTAACTAACATGAATTGAGATGGTGGGAAAAAAACATGAAATCCTCAATATTCAATAAAAACATTTAATCCGAATTTCCTTGATAATTTCTTTCAAATTTCTCAGTTTTCATAAATTTACATGAAATTTCATCTCAATTTTTACAATTGATCATATAATGTCAAATATTTAGATTTTTGTCAGATGAGTATTCAAATTTTGAAAATTAATTTACAAGGTAGAAAAGATATGGTATTCATGCTAATTATAGAACAAATTTAGCCCGAATTTACTCAACAGTTTCTGAAATCTTCCATTTTACAGAGTGGTGTTCAAATCTATAAGAAAGATTCTTAACCCCCCAAAACAGGCAATTTGGTGTAATTGTGACACATATATACATTCAATTCTTCTGTAATGGTTAGGGCCGTGGGTATCGGCCTGGATAGCTCAGTTGGTAGAGCACCTGACTAGAGATACAGGGGTCCCGGGTTCGATTCCCGGTCCAGCCATGCATTTTCTCCTTTCCTGTTACAGATTTGGTGCCGTTGACCACCCCTGGAATTGCAGGTGAAAGTCCTGCCAGGGGCAATAAGAACTTGGGTTGTGTCTTCGAGGGCGAAGACCATTTAAGGAGGGAGGAATGTAATGGTTAGGGCCGTGGGTATCGGCCTGGATAGCTCAGTTGGTAGAGCACCTGACTAGAGATACAGGGGTCCCGGGTTCGATTCCCGGTCCAGCCATGCATTTTCTCCTTTCCTGTTACACTTCCATTTATACATTTCATTTTATGATAGTTTGTACAAATAATATTTAAAATATTTATTTCGAATTTCCTCTGTCATTTTATTCCTAGGAATAAGTTAGGTTTGACAAAAAATACATTCTGGATTCTTTTCCTATTTTATATATTCAGAAAATAATGCAGTTATGCATGGAAACATTTCAAGATATGCACAATTAAATGACAAGAAAAAGATGTGGGGTCATCATCCTTGATTTTGCTTGAAGGTCATTTGAAAAGTTGATGCTAAAAATACATTTTTTCCTCCTGTGGAATTGAGAAAATCCAATGTGGTATTTTAAAATTGATGTTTTGGAAAAATGGAGATGTTTAGATATGAAAAAAACAATTTAAGTCTTAAGTTTTATGTTAAAGCAATGTACTAAAGTAAAATAAATAACAAACTTTTGATCACAAATGACACAAAATATTTATTCCGAATTTCCTCTGTACTCTTTATAAAGTGATAATTAAGTCTTTGACAATCATTCTGTTTCATTTAATTTTTTTACTTAAATCAAATATTCAGAAAAAAATATTTTTACAACCATAGGAAAGATAGATGTTGAATGAATCATTTACAACAAAAAAATAAAGGGGTATTCATATTTATTAAATTGCCAGGTTAGCTCGAATTTCCTCATTTTAAAAATTATTATTGAACAAAGAATATGCTTTCAATATCTCATATAGGCTAATAATTTAAGAGACAGGACAGGCGGTTAGATAATACATTTTCTCTGAAATGTGATATAATGTATTATTTTGAATATAATTGTTGAAATTATTGCCATGTTTCCAAAAAAACTTTTTAAAAATTCAGTTCGAATTTCCTCTGTTATAAAATATACTGGTTTCATTATTTACAAAAAAGTAAAGGTTGGCGAACGAAATACATGTATATTTTTGCTGAGTTAAACATGTTAAAGGCCAAAACTTTATGTTATATTATAGAATCTTTATATGTTTTGTACATGAACTAATATATGACATGTATATAAATATTTATCAGCGCCAACACAATTACAATAATTGTCAAGGGTGCAACATATTAGTATAAGAATCACCAATTGTTCATACAATTTTATACAATACACTGCATCTAGATTTTGAGGCTATACATAAATCACACAATAATATAATTTACACAATAATACACAACAAATATGTATTACAATGATTTCTAAATATATGGTATTTCTTAATAAATAAGTGTTATTTTCAGTATTTCTGTACATTGACTATCAAAAGTATATGAGACAAATTTGATACTTTTCCTTTCAAGAAAAAAATACATCAACTTCCTTTCAAAAGTTAACTTATAATTATTGTATTTTTGGTAGCTAAATAAAAACGAAATACATCTTAAATCTCTCCTGTGTAACAAATAATTTACAAAATCTTTCATTTAGGGAGTGTTTATAGGCAAATCCCCTTTTCTGTGGCAAGGTTATGTGCACCAAGTCTCAAGCTGCTAATGATTGGTCTCTCTGTTCTTTTTTTTGGGGGGGGGGATATCAGTGTAATTCACAGCATCTGAAATCATCAAAAACAACAGTAACTTGATAACATTTTAGTTTGGTGAATTATGAACCTTTTCTCTTTTGAATATTGATCTGATATTATTTGTTTAAATGCTTCTCAGATATGATTTTTAATGAATTTGAGGAAAAATCTTAACTTGCTGAAAAATGAGAAAATCTTTTTAGTTCATCACTCACTTGATGTGCGAATTTCTTGCTGAACATCTGTTCACCTCCTGAGAGTCCAATTTTTTTTGCCTACAACTATAAAAAAAGGATTAAATATATGCATAGCAGTAAAAATGCTGCATTACATGTTACAGTGTATTATACTTTCAAGTTAAATACTAAAATCTGATTAGTATAGATGCATCTAACAATCCTTATTGTTATACTTTTAAAAATTTGTTCCTATACAAATCTATACATTTCTAATGTTTTGCTGAGCGGGCATAAAACAATTGATATTAATTAAACCACTGAGTGAGATGTTGGACCGGTCGATGAAATGTTGGACCGCTTACATGTACATCACACAATTGGCGGAGCTTAAGGTGGCTCATTACATCCACAGTTTATTTTAGATTTCAATACAGCACCACTTATAATGTAGATGTCAAATATCCAGATGGGGGTATTGATATCATAAATATTTTTTATAGAATTTTTTTAGTTTTTGTTTTATTTTAGTGAAATGTTTTATTTCAGGTTTATTATTCACAGAATTTCAGAACTTTCAGTGTCAAATGATGGGCATCTTCTTAAGACAAGTATACAAAGTGAAAATACCTCATAATACCTAATAATAATTTTATTAGAAAAAATAATTTTCTCCTAGAAAACAATTAATGTCATTATCTTTTTAATCTATGCATAAAACATTTTAAAAATGTGTTCTGAAGAGACAAGGAATGTATTTCAATGAATTGCATGAAGAATGTTTAAACGAAATGAAAAATCAAATTCAAAAAATATTTGGTATAAAAATCAAAATAGATTCAGAGAAAAAAGGGATACACAGTTAATGTCGATTTGCACTCAAGGTGGGAAAAATCAATCCCATCAAAAATGACGTTGATCATGCGTTGTAGATATTGATCTCCCAAAAGCAAAATATTCCGGCACAATCAAGCGCGTATCTCTCCCAATGTATTAATCCATCTGGAATATTATATTCATTGAAGGCCACTGTTCATGACATTGTAAAGTCATATAAACAAGGCGGGTTTAAGTCCTTACTCAGTTCCAGGGAATCTCATCAAAAAGTGTATGAGGTATAAGAAGAGGACAGTGAAAAAAAAATGACGTTATCTGACGTCATGAAAATAAACGACGACAGCGCCAGGTGATGATATAATGTTGTTTTCATTTTATAATAATTTGGCAAATAATGAACATATCAGGCTAAAATTTTCAACATTTCTTTAGTTTGTGTTGCTTTATGTTCCAAATCAATTTTGAAAGCGCAGACTACATAGTACTAATTTTATAGCCTCAGTCCACGAACTTTTTGATAACCCCTCGTACATCTAAATAAATATTAAAATGAAAGGTATAACAAAACATTTACTGACTGTGTTCTCAAGCAAATAAATTTTGTTGATCCCCAAACCAAATTGTCTGCCTTTGGCCTATCTGTCTCAGGCAGACACTTTGGATCTTGGGTCTGATAAAACACAAGTTGCCCTTGAACTCAGTCAGTAATATTTAAAATTGACATCCCTTGTATCAGTTGACAATGGTTTTCCTTGGGGTGTCAATTTGGATTGTAGCCCTCAAAAACATGCACTATTTATATAATAGTTAGATACAGTTGTGTTCATATTTCTTATAATTATGTACCTCAGTAGTCCATCTGCAAGCAGATTTTGTTCAATCATCCTGCCTAAGTCTGGCCTTCTGTCTACCTTCAACTACAAGTAGTCTACTCCTGGGTAAATTAAGTACTGTAGGGCTGTTTGCTCCTAAGAATTAAACATGAACAGTTCTTAGACAATTGTTTTTAAATTAACAAAAACTGGTTATAAGATTAAACATTCAATCTTATCTGTATTTCATTTATTGATTTATAAAAAAATGAATGAAGTTTTTTAATAAATATATTTTATTTTATACACCACGTTGTATAACAGTGTATAATGTCTTATTTAAATTTGTACTATAAAAAAACATTTTAAACCTAAAAACACAGAAAAAATACATTAATATAAATAATTTCTGAACCATTGTGTTTCATTTTGCTCCATAAATTAGACAACTGTTTGTCTCAATGTTATTGATTTTTCCACACAATATATACTCATTTTTCACTTTGATTTGTACCCCAACGGAACACCTTACTTTTCTAACAACTTGATGATTGCTGTGTCTTTAACAAATAAGGCTAGTTAGTAATGTAACTTGTTGTAATTATATACAAAAAATGCTATTTTTGTGAATAATTATTATTCATAAAACTGACGAACACGCGGAAATGATAAAATTTAATCATCAAATGTTGAACAGTCGCGGGAACATGGGGAACATCATACGAAATACATCAATCTATAATATCCTTGCGAATTCCCATTTATCAGTAAAAACCACGTAATTCAATTTCAAAATTATAAATTAAATTGTCAGACATACATAACTAACTTACATGTACAATATCACTGCACAGTGACCCGACGATTACGTGAGATCTCATCCCATAACAAACTCGGACTATGACTAAGTCGGACTATTACGGAGTCGGCCTACACAAACTCGGACTATAACAGAGTCGGCCTACAGCTAAAAAAATTAAGATGTATAGCATAAATTTAACTAAGTCATTGATTAATATTTATATTAAAAAATAATATAGGTGCTATTGATTAAGTATTGTTTTTTTTTTTTTTTTTTTTTTTTTTTTTTTTTTTTTGCAAACCCTAATTTACATGATGTGATTTTTCAAGTTATTCACTAGCGTGAATAGAGTTTACTTTAGCACTCCAAAGTTTAGAGTAAAATTTAAAAGGGTAAAATTTATCAACTTATAGAATAAGGAAACGCAATAAACTTCTAAAGATATATATCTATTTTTATTGATATATTACATTTTTTAATATAAACTTGTATTATTTTTATGCAGTGGAGATTACGAGAATATTTATGTTAGACTGGAACATTTTTTTTTTTTTTTTTGGTAGAGGTTACTTGATTCGCAAAAAATAAATAATTATTGTTTGGATAAATGAAATAATCGTGTCTTCAAAAAAAAAAGTACACTAGTCAGTTTTAAAGATGTGATGATTACCTTCATGTACTTATTTCAGCATTTACCGCGCGTTATCAATTTTACAAGCTAGCTGCGATATTTTTTTCTTTCATTCTTTAGTAAAAATATTATTTATAATTTCCATTACAAAGTGGACAAATTCTGACCTGATATACTTCCTTTTCTCACTTTGTCATATATTGTCGGTATATTAAAAAGAATGTACGCAAATGAGAGGAAAAGCAACGAGAAAAATGGTTTACAGAGAATTCTCCAAAAAAGTTTTTTTTCCAAGCATATAGCCGTATTGCTTTGAAAGATTTTTTTTTTATGTATGGAATTAAAATTAGGATATTTTTTCAGTTGTATCAAAAAATTCTTATTCCAGATAAAGATGTTTAATTGTGTTGATGTGGTTTTAAGATTTCTTTCCTAAAAATTATCATATTCTTTTTGTCGAAGAATACACAAATATGAAGAGAAATATTTAAAGATTGTAATATTTAAACGCAAATGATTTATATTCATTAAATTTTTTTTAAAGAAATCGAAAATTCCAGTTTTATAGGTTATATACACATTCATTTGAGTTAATGTGATTAACAATTAATAAAACATCAATTAGAATAATTATTTAGGTGTTTTTGAGTCTACTATAGTGTCAAAAAGACACTGCCCCATTGTTTGTACATGCATATCATCTCTACCTCCCCTAGATATGGCTTCCGTGTGTCACCTTTGTGTATTCCAAGTAAACTGGCCGTGGTACGCATAAATTGATAAGTAATTTAAACAATAAAATATTGCATTTTTTAATGTATTGCATTATCTGTAACATCTGTATCTGAACATAATTCTTTTGATTTACTTTGCAAAGTGTTATTACTAAGTACTATTATAAATGCATAGGCCGAGTCTGCAATAGGCCGACTCCGTAATAGTCCGACTTTGTAATAGTCCGACTCTGTTATAGTCCGACATCTCTAGTACCCGACCCGACATGACGTACATCAGGCGATCGAGACAACGTGGTCGTGGGTCTGCAATCTCGCATGTTTGTGACGATTCTTTGTGACCTTCAACAGTTCAAGTTTCCTTTGGTTGATCGGGTGTCCCGGGCATAAAGAAATGGGTGACTTAAAATTTTTTTAATCATTCCTGGGCTTCTACAATGCTTCAATAATGTTTACGGCTTGTATATTTTACAAAACAATCCTCACGGGGTTATCTACGGGAAACGACCTGGACATGTTGACATTCGCTACGGAACTGCGCATTTTATGGCAATTGTCGCAAATCAAAGAAAAAATCACGAACAACTTAATTTCTTTAATAGAAATAGACTCAACAATACATAAACTAATAAATAAAACAATAATTATTTATTCAGATTGATTAAATATGTAATTTTCATTTTACGACTTCCAAAATCTATGGAGACCCATTGACGACGTAAAATGCTGACAAGAATCCATCGGGTGCGTCGATTTACCCAAATGGACCCAAATGGAACCCAAATGGACCCAAATGGAAACTCAAATGGACCCAAATGGAAATCAAATGGAATATAAAATATATATAGTATATCGTATTCTCAAGTTTTTACTTATTTAAAACATAGAAAATAATGAATTAAAACAAAAAGAGAATATTTTAATATCAATTATTTCTTTAATTGTATTTTAAAAAATGCGATTTAATTCTATTCGTAATAACTATTGAACATAATTGAATACAAAAATGAAGTATTTGATAGTTTCTATGGCAGTAGGAACGGATGGGGGGGGGGGGGGGAGGAGGAGGCCCCCCCCCCCGCCGCTACCCCCAAATAATTTTGCCGGTATATAGAATACTATGAAAACTTCATGTTTCAAAATACAATATTAGATATTAATACTAAAAAAATTCAATTGTAACTGTAAGTTTATTTATTTTCATCATTTTGAATAAGTATTTAAATACGATAATACATATTTAATATTCCATTTGATTTCCATTTGGGTCCATTTGTGTTTCCATTTGGGTCCATTTGGGTTCCATTTGGGTCCATTTGGGTAAATCGACGCGCCGGAATCCATCCTTAAGTGAGACTGGGATAAAAAGTTAGCCCGTCTAAGTTTTACGTTAACCAGGCCTAGTCAATTACTGTTTCTTTCGTTGAAAGGTTTAATATTGAAAGTATCTCATCTAACATCTTCGCTAGCCAAGGGTTTCCGGTCCGATACCTACTTTACAACCTTTGGCAGATTTGGCCCAAAATTTTAGAACTCGCGCAAACGAATTTGATTGGCTGCGAAGTCCGAGTCTTCGCAAGGTTTTTACTAATCGACGACTATCGGCTAAATTAAAGTCTGTTCATGTTTTGTGCACAAAATAAAAGGAATATTTACAATGGATGAAAGTTAGGACGTGATCTATGCTTAAAAAACAAGGGATTAATTAATTTTATTTTTTTTCTTTTAATTATATATGTTTTCAAGAATTATTGAAAGGACCAAATAAGTCCGCGTTCCGCATTTTAGATGCATCAATTTAAGCCATTCAAATGTCACGGCTTATTGATAATAATTGATACGGCAACAATAGAAAGTAACGTCACACTCTTGACTAAAAATCCAAGAAGAATGATACTTTCTTCCACTTTTGAGGTGTGCCCACTGCCCACAGCTGTATGAAGTTATTTGGAATATATTCCACATGGAGGTCGCCATACTGTTTCAAACGTCATATTGATCCTCATATGTTACAGCTATTTTCATCAGACAAATATTAAAGAGCTTCAATGGACTTTACGGCGATAGGCGGCGCAATCAAAGTTCCCGTTTGATAGGACTAAATCTGCCAAGAGTTGTAGAGTAGGTATCGGATCGGAATCCCTTGGCTAGCGAAGATGCTCATCTAAATAACAGTGAACTTTAATCATGGCGAAGTTTACATTACAAAGATGAAATTATTATATCCCAAAAACCTCATGAATATTGGAGTATCCTTTGAAAAAATGTTGAATTGAAAAAAAAAACCCACACATTATTTCTCAAAATATTCTTTACAGCTATGTATGATATATATATTTCTTTTGTGTTCTCTCATACATGAAGCCTCCGTCTAACAGTACTTTCAGTACTTTGATTAATCCTATGCCCAGTGTCATTGTTAGTACTTTATTCTCTTGACTTTTCCCGTTATGCACTCTCCCACCATCAACTCCTCCTCTTTAATAACACACACAGGGAGTGGTCCTTGTATCCCTATAGATCAGGGATGATGTACCTCAGTAATCGACCGTCCCTATCAAGCACGTGGATCTTGCTATTGATAAAATCAGTGATGATAATATGATGCATGCTGTCCGTCGTAAGGGAGAAAACACTAAATCCATTATTAGATTCTTCGTTCCCCGAATAGGAGAACCTGAATATTCCGTACTTGTCCACGACTATGGGGGCCCTTTTACGCCAGTCAGCCACACAAATGTCGCCGTTACTTCTCCATCACGTAAACTGGCGTCTGAAACAGAGGCTGGTACTCTGAGTCGTACTGGATTTCCTAGAGCACGTCTGTACTGGACGACCTTTGACTCGCTTTGATCTGAAGTCTTGAGACAGACCACCAAGTCCCCTGCTGTGGTACATGCGATTCCCAAAGGTATCCACAACCCAGTATGGAACTATGTCTTAAAATTCCTTTTTATACTTTTCACAGCATATTCTGTAGGATCAGGGTACACTATATATCCGTCGTGCAGGCCGAGAGTCAGGATTTTACTCCATGCCGAAATGGTGACAGTGTCGAGGAGATGGCCCTGAAGATCGAAAAGCTTTAGGACATTACTGCATCCACTTGTCCGCGCACTGTCACCACCGAGAGAAACAAATGCAATGTTGTTTAGACGATTGCCAGATCTTTCCTTGGCTTTAAATTCTGAATCAAAGGTGAAGAGTATTTTCGGTACATCTAGGACTTGTTCTGATGATTGGATGAAATCCTTTGATTTCATATGATCCTGGATGGAAAGTTTAAATGATTTAACCAAAAAGGTTTTGAGATACTAGTAGTTTTTATCATATTGGCAAGATTGAAAGTATGCAGGTCGAGTTTCCTCTACTAAGGCTGGAAGCTGCAATTTTCAATATCAATTTTAAGCTTCATTGATTCGGAAACTTCTTTAAATTTTGCCAAACTGAAGACTGTTTGGTTTAGGCATTTCAGCTTTTCAAGAATCTCTTTTATTTCTTTCTTCTGCTTACGTAATAAAAGATGGACA